ACTGAGAAGCAGGAGAATGGACTAAGTACAAAGTCTCACAGTTAGAGCTTTATGAAACAATCAACTGTATTTCCTATCCTGGGTTTTGTGAAATCCTCTGCATCCTTTCAATGAGCACCTCCTTTCTTTAGCTTGAGTATTTGTTTCTTGTATCCAAAGGATCCCTAACCATGACAGGCAAAAGACAAAACTTCCACCTTCTTTTACTTTCTACTGAAAGGAACCCTCTACCTCCCTCCATGCATTAAATGGCTATATGCATTTCTAAAGGAAGCTGCTAATGTAGACTGAGATTAAGGTAGTGCTAATAATGCATTACACCGAGTCAGAATATTTTAGACTGACTTTCTAAAGCCTTACGGTGTAGTACAAGATGCTGTGTCAACTTAGATACTAAGAGCTCTGGGGCCTCTAAGCGCACAATCCTGTCAGGGATGACAAGAAACTCTGGACTGACGTTTTTTTAGGACTGACTGAGTTTAATTTATTTTACTGTCCGGCTCTAGGGAAGAAAAATGATGGTTGTAGATCAGGACCTGAAGACAGGTGCCAACTCTCCCCAACACCTTCAGCCCTTCTAAGGCATAGAATTAACTGCAAAGGTTGTTGAAGGATGAGAAACAAGTTCCAAATAGTATAGGAGCTGGTGGCAGGTCCCAAAATAGTGATAAGGAAACCTTCTCAACAAGGAGAAACAGGGATACAAGCAGCTCAGTTTCAAAAAGATCAAGGAAGGCACTAGCTTGGAAAGGGACTGTGAGCAGATGCTTTGCTTAAATATCTAACTGCCCCACTGTACAACTCTGAGACAACATAATCCTCAATCTCCAGTCTCACTGGCCTACCAAACAGACTCCACAGAAATACATGAAAATATTGGGCACTCATGAGACCTACCAAGAACATCTCCCAGATGTTCATCAAAGCTACAGGAAGACAAGAGGGATTAGCAGTCTTAAGACTGATCTTTCCAGGGCTGCTCTATAAAGAAAGATCTGTCTCTATAAAATAGCTATGAATAAAAATCACACAATCTGACTGGGAAGAGCTATTTTAGCGCCAAATGCAAGCGCTAGGGAGCCCAAATACAATCCCCCAATATCGGTAAACCATCACGCGGTGGCAGGGAAGAACATTTAGCTGATACTTTGGCACATGGTAAACACTCATACATGTTTGCTGAAAGAACAAACCAGGCCAATGGTCAGAATATTATTCACTGGTTATTCCAGGGTCAGAAAACCAAAACCACACCAAACTCACTGCCATTGAGCAATTCTAACTCATGGCAATGCCCGTTGGGTTTCCAAGGCTGTAAATCTTTACAAAAGCAGAGCAGCTGGTGGGTTCGAACTGCTGATCTCTTGGTTAGCAGGTAAATGCCTGAACCACTATCGCACCAGAGCTCCTTTAGAGTTAGAAAGGCCAATGGCAAAAAGGACTTACAAACAGCTTGGAAAGAAGGTCTATACCTTCTGACTTTAATGATGTGAAGTAGGAGAATATTTTCTATCAAAACCATTGCAAATCACTTACAAAAAGGACTAGATCTTATTACTGGTGCTTTAAATAGAATATATACTTAGTCCCTAGTTTGCAAATAAGTTGTGGTAAAAAAAAAATTCACTTGTAACTTTGCTGTTTGGACCATAAAACATATTTTACTTTTTTACAGAGGAAATAAATATTTTAAGTATGAAGAATACCATCCCCCCCCACACACAAAAACTAACCCAGTTTAATAAAAAAAACAAAAAACAAAAAACAGTGAAATGATCCTAGTATTATTAACCCACATTCTGGGCTCTGGTAATGAAGAGAAAGAGAGTAGAAGAATGGCAGAATATGTAGCGTGGCGGGTGGGTGGGAAAGAGAGGGGCCAGGGCAAGAGAATGGTATCCACAGGTACAGATCACTATTGACATAAACACTAATGATACATGTTGAAATGACAAACTGCCTAATCTATTATTTAACTAAAGAGAAGTACATCAGAGTACACACAGGTTTTTTTTTCCCATTTTTAGATCTCTACTTTTAAGGAAAAAGTATGGGTGGGGTAGTTAGAGAAAGTCCAGTCTGATAACCGATTAAGTACTGCAAAACACCTTCCCAGCAGGAAGGCAGACTATGTAAAGCAAACCATGGAAGACAGGGAAAGCAGAAAACAGCATTGAATAAAACAGGCTAATGCATCTGAGAAAAAGGGAAACATCAAAGTGGCATCTTACCTTACTGACCTGGATAGTTAAGAGGAACCCTTTGTAATTAGGAGAGGGAAAGGGGATGGGTTTATCAGAGATGGCAAAACTCAAAGATAAAGTCTGCTTATGAAAGAGCAATTTTGATTAAATTCATAGCAGAACCAAAGAATTAATAAACACTGTCATACAGATGGGGGATAAAGAATAGGTTATCAGTGCCTCAGACAAAGGAGAAGATAAGAAATTAAAGTTTTGGAATTATCAAGCCAAGAGCCATGTGAACATTTTCTATGGCTTGCCTGGAAATCTCAGGTATGGACCCAAGCAAGTCCTCAGAGCAACCAAAGTGAAAAACTCTCATAAAATGGTCCAAAACCTTGAATACTTACAGGTACACATCTAGAAAACCAAGATCTGCTCATTTCAGGTCATACTCAGCACAGGCATCCAGCATCACAGTTCTCAGGGCTGACCTCACAGGTAGCCCACCAGGAGTGGGAAAGATGGAACTGCCCTTGGCCTATATAATAAGAACAATAACCTCCAAAGAAGAACATTTTGGAATGGACTGACTGAAAGCATGGTACCAGCAAAAGATATGCAGTCAGTGCTTTGTTCTCTTCCCAGATCTGCAGACTCTGGGCAATGACTGCAGAAAAGCAAACATTCTACTATAGACAGGCACGGAAACAGCTGTCATTTTTTCTAGTTCTTTCTTTAAGCTGTCAATATCTCAGAAACACGTAAAACTGAATGGCACCTTAAATGAAGCACTGTACTGGCTCTTAGACAGTAGTTTACTGTTTTCTACTTTCTGCCACTTTCCCTTGGCCTTCTTCCCTCCTAATCTAGGACTTCCTGTGCCAATGGTGGACTATGCTGCTTTCTGCCATGTAGAGACCTTAGGTAACCATGGCAAATTTGTGTCTTGTACTATCTACTATGGGAGTGTCGATGTCTCTAACAGGGTAAAACTAAAAGACCATTCAGGGGTAGCTGAAAGCTAAGAGAAGAGTTAGAGAGAAGTTTTAGTCCCAAAGATGACAACACTGGAAAGAAAACAGATCTAAAGATGGTCATTTCTGTCGCACTTAGAGACAGAAACATGCTTTATATTTTGAGAAGAGGAGATTTATCAAAGAGTAAGTTTACTTCAGACAAGGAGGTCCTTGCACACTGCTAGGAAGTGAGTAAAGGATTCTGAGCAGAAGTCTCCAGGAATCATTTGGCGGTGTCTAAAGACATTAACCATTCTGCGAACTGGACTCTGAATCACAGAAAGTGCCAGTCTTTCCACATACCATCACTAACTATATAGTAATTCATTACACCAAAGATGTCTAATTACTGTGGGAAACACAGTAATTAAAGACAGTACATAGGACCTAGGGTGAAGAGGACAGGGGAACAAAAGGAGAAAGGAGATGTTACATTCCCAAAGCCATAGGCACAAGAGTAAACCAAGTCATTGGGTGGCACCAAGGTAGGAAAAGTACTAATTATCAGCAAAATGCTGTGTTACCATGGGTGGTAGCTCCATTCCTTAAAGGGCAAAGAGAGAATCATTTCTGAAAATGTAACCTGGTTCATGTTCAAAGGGAGACACCCACAGAAGCAAGAAATAAGTTATGGGAAGAAAATATGAACAGATAAATGCTTATTGTCTATTCTGTGCATTTCATGTATAATCAAGGTGAATAGCATGTGACTGAAGCTTCCTAAAAGCTTCATGGTATTTGGACCAGAAAGCTGTCCTGGAAGTCAATATTCTTCCCTTCCCATTAAGTAGGAAAACTCACAACTGACATCAGAGCACGTATCTGGCACCAAGGCAACTGACTCCCACAGACCATTTTCTGAGGAGGGCATGGAATGTATTTGAAGGCCTCTATCGCAAATCAGTCTTTATGTAATTAGGATAATTAAAATATCTTATTTTAACAAATCCAATGCTCCTATAGAAACAGTGCTTTGGAGTGGCCAGTGTTAGCTGCTAGTATCAAACATGACTATAACAATAAAGCAACAATACTTTTTTCCCCACCTATCTACCAAACAAACCAACCCCACCACACATAATAAAGAACATCCTATAAGCTGCTTGGCCTCTGGTCATAGCAAGCCCACTGCCAGTGATAGAACACCAAGGAGAAGGAGGAGGGAGCAGGCGGTAAAGGAAAGGACAGAGTCTTCTAAAAATACAAGACTTTAGTTATGCACATGATAATCCAAGTCAAAGGGGAGTGCTGAAGTTGTAATACACACACAACAAGGTTGGGTATAATACCACAGTAGATGGAAGTCTTTAAAAGATTCCTTCCTAAACCTCTTGTGCTAATTCCCTGCCTGGGATTAACACAAACAGCAGGTTAATCTTATAATCTTAGGACAAACATAACACAGACAGACAGACAGACACATGGCCACATTCTTAACCTAGGAAAGTCTTAAGTCTTCACTTAAGGATTTACAGCACAATACTTGTCCTACTGCTCTTTGGACTGTTCCCTAGGTAGGCAGGACTATAATACCATGTAATAAAAAGTCACACTCTCTCTAAATGGGGACTGAGGACACCTTCAACTGCACTCTCAAACAAATAAAATAACAAAACAAACTAGCTGCTCCATTTTCATTCCGCTGCTTTGAAATCTTGGAACCACAGGTGTAATATCCCACAGACAGGGCAAGACTTCATTGTGAAGCCTCCAAGGGACCCTTGGCCCTGTCAGGTGCTACTTGAGTAAGAGCCCCCAGCTTACTGGTCCTCTACAGCTGCAGCAGGAAGGTGAGGTGCTAGGTGGCTACGTGGGCAGGAGAAGAAATTGAAACAAATTCCCGGAGGATATTTTTGGCCATTTCAATGTTGTTGTGGGCAATGACCAAAGCTTTCTGAATGTCTTGGTAGGAGTACCCCTGACTCATGAGGTTCTCAATCTCACTGGAGAGCTGAGGTGAGGCAGCAGCGGCGGCAGCAGCAGCAACGGCAGCACCCCCACCCTGTTGACAGCTACCGGCTTTGCGTTCAGAGTTGATTCTCCGAGGGAATGGTTTAGGAGGCCGCTCAGGAACTTGGGAACCCTCACTGAAGTCTAAAAGAAACAGGAATGAAAATATTTGCAAATCTTGGGGGAGGGATCCTCATTTACTGGCAGTTAATAATAATAATATGCTAACATCGAAACATTATTGACCTTCTGTCAATTGGGTACATATGCTCCTCAGTAAGGCTGGATTTTCCAGGTTCAAGGGTTTTAGTATATAGGCTCCTTTTTGTAACAGCAGGAGCAATCTTCTAAATATACCATGCACTTGTTCTACTAGCAGTAATCATGGCAATCATAAGCACATAACATCTGTATCTGCATCATGCTTTACACTTAGCAACAAGTTTTCACACACATTATTGCCTGAATTATTTAAAAAAAAAACTTCTCAGGGAGCCAAAAGAGATACTAAAAATCTCCTTTAACAAATAAGGAAACAAAGAGAAATAATGTTAAGTTATAGTTTAGAAGCATTAGCCAAAGTTGGTGGGTGGAGATCACCGCCTGTTTGGGCAACTGGATGCTATATATCTTTGCCCCCAGCTGTCCTGAGAGCTGTTTTAATATCCAAAGTGACAGCAACTCTGTACGCTGCCCTACCAGACAGCCACAGGTGCAAGCAGAACAATGCTTGATAGTCAAGACCCAAGTATGGGCTGGCTCCAGGCCCATTCAGTGTACTTTCTAGAACCAACATGACTTTTTTCAATGGACAGTGGCCAGAAGTCAGGAACATGTGGTCTGAACCATCAAGCTTAATAATCACTGTCACAATGCATGCTCAGAAGAACTAGAAATCCTACCTACCCTCAGCACACGAGGAACATGGTTTCAGGAACAACCACATACCCACCAAGTCCAGCAAAATCCTGAAGAGTCTGGCTTAGAGTTTAACTTTCTAATTTGGGATCTAGGATCAGTTTCCTTCCCATTTAGATATAGTTTTTAGTCTACTACTTCCACCTACTGCCTTCTTGCCACTAGGGGGTCATCTGTGTTTTAGTATAAATTAGGAGTCATACAGCAACTCAGTATAAACCCAAAGTATCCTGGAGACACTGTCACTCACTTGTTGTGGGATCACCATCCAAAGACAGCCAGCCTAAGGCAGAGCTGGCATTAGAGATATCTGAGAGAGTTCGTCGGGCCAGCACCGCTGGCACAGGTGGCTTAGGGACATCATACCCATCCTCCTCATTTTCTGACTCCTCAGGGCCAGTTCTGGCATGGGCAGCAGCCAAATTCCCTTCACCTAGAGAAAAGTTTGTGAAGTTATTACCCAATTTCATCTTCTAACACATTTCAACAGAGGGACATCCATTCATTAATGCATGTATAATTTTTTTCATGCAACAGTTACCAAATGTCTAATATGGGCCAAAAACCATGTGAAGCCCTGTGGGTAGAGATAAAAGACACAGAAAAAATAAATCTGCACCAGTCTTGCAGAGATTTTTCTTGAACAGGCCAAAGGCTACCCTTGCCAAGGTTAATAGCCATTGATACCAAGGATCAAGTGTCACTTTATAGCACTCGTTCAACATTTCTATTTGCATTTCACCTCAGAAGAGACGCCAAAGGGCCTTGTGTGTGCTGCCTTCTTGAACTTTCAACTTGGTAAATTAGTTAACATGGGAATTGAGTATTCACCACCCACACACAAAAGAATTTCATCAATGCTAAAAAGCAATGGGAATAAAAAGGAGCTGCTAGTATTGCAGGTCCAGGCCACATAACACAAATGTCAACAGGCCCCTGGAAAGCACAAAAAAGACTAGCTGTGTGAACAAGAAATAAAAGAGCGGAGGGAGTTTTACCAAAGAAAATGTTTAAAAAGAATTTTCCACTTAAATAAAGCTTTGTCATTAGCCAAGTATTTCAGGGTCATTCTTACGTTCCTCCAACGATTTTCAAAGTGCAGAATGGTTACTCACCAAAAGAATTGTTCTCTGTGACAGATGTTGCCTGGGACTGAATATTATACATTGCTTCATATGTACAGCTATCAATCTGCTGGTCACATTCACTCGCTCTGAACAGGAAGGAAAGGGGCATAATGATCTTCAGAAACAGAATTCTATTATCTGCAAACTTACTGATCAGATTAACCTATACTCAACCACTCTAACTCCAATACTATTCTGATACACATTCTTCCTTGGCCACTATCACTAATAAATGTCATAAGGTTGACGCCTGTGAGGAATAACAGATATGTGTGTTTTTGAGGCTACGGTGAGGTTGAGAAAACCTAAGTGGAATTGCTTATACTTACAAGAGGCTTAAACACTGGGACTAGATATATCATTTTAAGGTAAAAAATAACACACACATAGAGGAACAAAACTGCTTCTGGGAGTGTTAGCACACAGCATGGAGGTAGCAAACTGAGTGGTGAGCAATGTCCATTAAATCATACACATAAAGGTGTTTGCTGCAAAACAGGATTGTTAGGAACCTACCGTGAACTCTGGGTTGTCTCCAAAGGCCTTTTTGCCTCTGGCTTTTGAAGCCCCAGAGGCCGAGAGGAGGGAGTCATATACTCTGTGTCCTCCTCATTTTCACACTGCTCCCCAGGGGGCAGCTTTGGCACAGGAAGAGGTCTGGAAGATAAATAATAAAAAGAATAGGAAAAGGAAATACGTTTAAAAAGATTTAACAAGCTGGACAACTTTCAAGTATGAAACAAGTGGCTTCAAATGCATCACAACTCAAATTTGGTATTTGACACAGCAAAATACATGCCACCTAAGGAACCATTAATTCTACTGACAGGTAATTAGTAAAAAGCACCGAAACTCAAACTCACTGTCATTGGGTCATACGGTTTCCAAGACTATAAAATCTTTACAGAAGCAGGCTGCCTCGTCTTTCTCCCACGGAGTGGCTGGTGGGTTCAAACCACCCATCTTTCAGTTAGCAACCCCAATACCTTAACCATAGCACCAGTAAAAAGCACCCTAACTCAAAACTGTCATCTCATCTTCAGCTGACAAGGTGTTGTTAGTTGCCGCCGAGTCAGTTCTAATTCATAGTGACTGACCCTATGTACAACAGAATGAAACACTGTCTGCTCCAGTACCAGCCTCACAATCCTTGCTATACCTGAGCCTATTGTTGCAGCCAGTGTGTCAATCCATTTCGTTGAGGGCCTTCTCCTTTTTTGCCAACCCTCCACTTTACCAAGCATGATATCCTTCTCCAGGGAATGGTCCCTCTGACACCATGACCAAAGTATGAGAGATTAAGTCTGGCCATTAAGGAGCATTATGGCTGTACTTTCTTCCAAGACAGATTTGTTTGTTCTTCTGGCAGTCTATGGTATTTTCAGCATTCTTCACCAACATCACAATGCAAATGCATCAATCTTCTTTCATCTTCCTTAGTCAGTGTCCAGCTTTTACATGCATATGAGGCTTCTGAAAATGGCTTGGGTTAGGTACACCTTAGTCTTGAAAGTGACATCCTTGCTCTTTAACACTTTAAAGGACTGTTTTGCAGCAGATTTACCCAGTGCAGTATGTTGTCTGATTTCCTGACTGTTGTTTCCATGGGCATTGATTATGGATACAAGTAAAATGATATCCTTTGACAAATACAATCTTTTCTCCGTTTATCATGATGTTGCTTACTGGTCCAGTTATGAGGATTTTTATTTTCTTTATATGTTGAAGTCTAATTCATAACTGAAGCCTGGAGTGTTTGATCTTCCTCAGTAAGTGCTTCAAGTCATCTTCACTTTCAGCGAGTTAGGCTGTGTCATCTGCGTATCACAGGTTGTTAACGAGTGTTCCTCCAATCTTGATGCTGTACTCGTCTTCATACAGTCTAGCTCAGCATACAGACTGAATAAGCATGGTGAAAGGGTCCAACCCTGATGCAAACTCTTCCTGATTTTAAACCATGCAGTGTCCCCTTGTTCTTGGACAGGTTCCTCATGAGCACAATTAAGTGCTCTGGAATCCCCATTTTTTTACAATATTATTCATAACTTGTTATGATCCACACAGTTGAATGCCTTTGCATAGTTCATAAAACACATCTGAACATCTTTCTGGTATTCTTTACTTTCAGCCAAGATCCATCTGACATCAACAATGGTACCCCTTAAGCCATGTCTTCTGAATCCAGTCTGAACTTCTGGCAGTTCTCTGCTGATATTCTGCTGCGATCATTTTTGAATTATCTTCAGGAAAATTTTACTTGTGTGTGGTATGAATGATATTGTTTGATAACTTCTGAATTCTGTTGGATCACCTTTCTTTAGAATGCTATTGTAAATAGTGCTGCAATGTACATGGGTGTGCATATGTTTGTTCCTGTCATGGCTCTCACTTCTTCTTCTTCTT